AAATGCTCGCTCTATCGGTGCCTGTGTAACTTCGTCTCTCTCCCTCTCTCCTTCTTTCTCTATTCTCTATTTGTGCATTGCACCCATATTCGCGTGAATTCTCTCTCTCTCTCCCCCCCCCCCTCTCCGCCTGTGCTATCTATTTTTCCCTTCTTCCTCTATCTTCCCGTCTTTGTTCTACCTGAGGCGAGCGTTACTCCGAACACTCGCCTAACACTCGTCTTCGTATTATCATGCCGGCGGTAGACGTGTACGCTACTGTCAAAGTCGTGCGCTTCCCGCGGCCCAGGTTGAGCCTCCCAATATATATAACTATATGTCCGGTGGAGTTGTCGAACAGCAGCCTCCGATTCGCGCGATTCACCCTTGTGGCATTTCACTTTGAGCACAAAACGCCGATAATGTCGCTTATAAATAAATCGTTTATTTTGAAAGTGATGTGAATCTAAAGCAGTGGTGAACCGTCACTGTTGCGATCGCGGACTCATTTGAATTTATATTTCTTTCGGATTCATGCTGCTTACAAAGTTTTTCGTCCCGAATTCATATACATACGTATGTCTGTGGATATATCTTTTGGTATATTTGCACTTTTGCCAAAACACACCGAGATGTCTCTCTCAGTGTTTACATTAGAAAAAGGTGTTTCGTTGTATGATAATAGCGTCACAGTATGACAATTGTATATTTTTGTGTTTTAGGACAGACAAAATGTCGGACCGAAAAGCAGTAATCAAAAATGCTGATATGTCGGAGGAGATGCAGCAAGATGCTGTTGACTGTGCCACTCAAGCTCTCGAAAAATATAACATTGAAAAGGTATATGCTCATCACACACTTTTATGTATACAGATATAGATAACACACTGTAAACATCACACACAAGTGTATTGTATAAAGAACGGAAAATTTAAGTCACATGCAATTGAAATAGATATATTTACCAATAGATGTACTTTTAGTTTTTTTATCTTATATCCAGTAAGGATCTTAATACATTTTATAAGCACGAATTTAATTAATTTATTATAAAAATTGAATAATTCATTAATGTCTTTGCATTAAGCAAATTAACAACTTTTATTAGAAATAAGAATAAATAAAGTTTTATGAATAAAGAAGTACAATTGTGCATAAACATTTTGTAATTTTAAAGAAGCTAACGAATTCAATAGATTATAGAATGATATTTGAAATACATAACTTGGAACATGATTTATTCATTTCTTATTAATATAATAGACCTGGAAGATTGATATATATAATTTAAAGTTGTAATATGTAAATGCAGTTACTGAAATTATGTTAAAGGTCGATATTTTATTATTTGTTCTCTGAAAAATTTCTGTTATGTAAATTCTCAAGTTACACAGGATGAGATTGTTAAATCAATAACACTATTGATTTTGCCATTAATATCCATTGGTTTTGGCTTTCAGGACATTGCAGCATTTATCAAGAAAGAATTCGATAAAAAGTACAACCCAACGTGGCATTGCATTGTAGGACGTAATTTTGGTAGCTATGTGACGCACGAAACAAGACATTTTATCTATTTCTACCTTGGTCAGGTAGCCATTCTCCTCTTTAAGAGCGGGTAAACTTGTTTTGCTATCCTCCTAAACATCCTTTTTCCTTCCTCTTCCTCCCTTGCTCACTATGCAAAATACATACATTTAAAATCACCGCCATGTGTAAAAGAGACTTCATTACTCATTATGTACACATTGAAAAATTTATTTTAAAAAAACAACGCATGTTTCGGATAAGCAAATGAAGATAAATATCAATGTTTCTTGATATATTGTTTGTCGTTACATAAGTAAAAGGATGATCCGAAAAAATTTTTGAGAAGACACAGCCGAAGGGTAGGGAGATAAACTAAGGGAAAAAAAAGAAGAAAAGAATGACATACAACTTTACATGTTAAAATGTATTTTGTATGTCAAGAAGTTTGTTGTGTTCTTGTTTTATATTATTAGGTAAATATGCTGCAGAATACGGTTAAATTCAATACTGGCGATTTTAACTTAGTAAATTTTAGCGTAAAATTGTTTAACGTATAGTGTTCAAGCAACACTAAATGGATTACATTTTTCGCGTAGAATAGGTTCATGCAGAACCGACATGTATTTGAAATATTTTTAAAATACTATTTACAATACAAGCGTATTTTGTATTTTTTATTTCAGCGAATCACAGAAGTATTACGTATTTTGTATTTGAAATCGAAAGCTTGAAAGCTTTTTGTATTTCGAATAATTTTATAATTCAAATAATAAGGTTGATTGTCAGTGTTAGTATTTGAAATACAAAATTCTTTCCATCTTTTGTTATCAATGAAATATCTGAAATACAAAATACAAAATATTTTCATGTACTCCGAATACAGTACAAAATACAAAATATAATTGTTTTGCCAATATTGTTTTTCAAATAAAAATATTTCAAATACATGCTTAGCTCTGGGTTCGTGTACCTTACTTGAATCTATACAGGGTGTCTACAAAGTCTGTCCGCACCCCCTACATTTCAGAAACTGTTCTAAATTATGACAAACCGGACATACATGGTATCCGTTAAGTAGTCGCCAATAATGAATGTAAACCCGAATGAGATTGATTGCCTCTGTAATTGTTATTTTATATTAATTGGTAACCACTGTCGTCTCTTACGTATTGTATACTGATTAACTTGATTTTGTATTTGCTATACAACTGCGACTGATATCTTTTGTTACATTAAGAATTCTCAAAATAATTGAACGGAAAAGGAAAAAAGGAGCTCAATCTCTCTTTCGACGTGCGATAATCATCGTACACATACTCTATTGATAACTTTATTTCGATCAGATATAAAACTAACATGCTATTGAATAACAATATCTGACTCGTTCATTGCTACCTTCACAATTTTTATATTGTGCACAGATTATAACATAAAAAAGGGGGGAGAAGACATTTTATCTCGAGGCGATGTATACTTAGAAAAATATTCATTTCTCCAGAGAAGAAATATCACTTTCTATCCGTATTAAATTCTTTTATGTAATATTCAACACTCCATATTATAGAGTACTTATATATATATAAATATATATATATATAATATATATTATACATATGATATATTATTTATACATAGAGTGCAATCTTCAAACAATTTTTCATGCAGTATTTGATTATCGTAAATGTTGCTACATTGTTCAAATTTTAGACTGACTATTAAATAATATCGAACTATCATGCATGATCCTTTTTTTTATAGAAGTTCGCAATGCCACTTTTATAAGCAGCGAATATGTAGCAGAGTGTTCAAAAGTATCACGATAAAAAATATCGAGTTGTACTTTGAAGATCAATTTGTCCTTGAGAACATCTGAAAATATTCAACATGTTATTACGTTACTTTCTTTTTATTTATTTATTGTACATATATTCCAGCAAGTTTATTAACTCATAAATATTGCATATATTATTAGAATAACACAGGATAAGCTGTATCTTTACGGTGTTATATGATGTACGTTATGCTTTCGCCGTACTTGCTACATGAGATCGGTTCAAGAAATATATCGCTAATAGGTTCGAATTAATCATCGGTAAAAGCCAATTGTACTTTGTATACACGTTAAGTAAAGAACCTGTTACGCTGTTAGGCGGCGGTTGTCATATTCATGATTTGCCAAAATCAAAATCAAGATTTGTTTCCGGAATGCGCTTTTTTAAAACGTAAATAGAATACAAAGTACTAAATTATTTTTCTTACACTCGTGAAACATGGGTTAACAAATGAAAAATAAATGTGGCTATGGCAAAATCACTTTGGTTCTTTTGGAATCGAGCTTTCGAGGGTAAGAATCGCTCTGTGCACCTCCGCCGATTTCACGATCGAGTCTACATGCAGAAGATGCGGTAAAAGCAGATGAATATTATTGTGCTTAACAATAAAAATCAGTTCCACCCATGAAACGATGTATTTTTCTTTTCAGCGAGGCGCAATGTATAAAATAGAGATCGACGTTATCCTACATAAGAGCGGTATTAAATATCACAAGGTCGAATTTTCCCTAAAATTACAATGCTGAAATATCAGAGGGAAAAAAACGAATTGCGATCGTAACACGCGCGCGTTGATAATATACATACACATACGTTTGCAGCCTACGCACGCGATGCCAGGAACATCAATAATGTGTTCTCGATAAAATTCAACCTTGTGACTCACAATGTGGAATGGCTGACTAGAGGACTACCTGTTGTGCTTTGCATAATTTGCGTAACTTCGTTAGACTCGTGTATCTCATTTCCGCCCCTAATAACTATAAATACCTGTTCTTCTGCAACGCCATACACACGTCCGTATCTA